GACAAAAGTCCTGACAAACAAACGTCGAGGAGGAAGTGGCTTACTTGGCTCAGGGCTTTGGAGGTTTAGTCCACGGTCGGCCGGCTCCACGTAACCCGCGACCACATCCTCCACCTGGGCTCCACCCAACTATGAGCACTAGTGGGTTAATCCGCTGATGAGTACAGCACCCCAAAGGTCCAGCCGCCTCCAGGTGTTCTCCTGATGCAGACAGTTAAGATGCAGGCGTGGAGCGATTCACCCGAATGCCTTTTGCCATGTTTCCTTGGAGACCTTGCTCTGTTTAACTTAGGCGTGGGGTTGGTTACACGCCTCCTGTCCCCCTTCCTCCACCGCTCCTCCCCAGACACGCAGACCGGGCGTTGTGTGCTGGGGATGAGACCTGAAGAGAGAGCTACCGAGTAGGTCTCTGCCCCTGGCCTCTAGAACCTCCTCCTGTTGTGAAATGGGGATCAGCATGGCTGTTTCTTCACGGGCCAGCCGTCCCCCAAAGCTTTGGTTTGAAGACGCCTTAAAAAAAAATCTTATAAATCCTTGCAAACCCTAAAGAACCTCGGTTTTTGTGGGTTATGCTGAACCTATCATTTAAAAATTACATTATAAGGCAAAACTAAGCAATTAAGAACGTTTAATTCTCTGAAAAACAGTAGTAATAAAGTTAGGATGTGTTGACAAAATAACGTTTCTATTAACAAACCCTCCGTGCTGGTCTTTCCGGTAGGTGAGGCGATTTTCTGATTCCGGTAGTGGGCAGGGCTGGTCTAGGCACACTGCTCGTGAGCCCAGGGATGGGAAAGGGAGGCCCCAGGGCCTTAGCCTGGCAGATGGGGGCCAGGGAAACTCTGGGGTGGTGGGAGTCGATCCTCACTCGAGGGGTATTTGCATTTTTTGCATTTTTGTCAGTGCTCACCTCATTGACTGCAGGAAGCAGGCTCTGGTGGCCTCATTGATCTTTGGCTCTTTATTACTGAGCACGTTCAGGGGACAGGCACTTCGTCAGCTGCTTTTCATGCTGGAATTGATGTCTCCCTTGCAAGCTGCTGCCTCTTGATGTAATGGTGTTCAGGAAAAAGGCCAAAATGCCAGTGGAGGCTCGGGTGCTGGTGCCCTTGCACGGTCACCACAGCTGTAATGCTGGCCTCACCCGTGCCATTCATCGACCCTTGTCCATGAGGAGTAAGGCAGCTCTGTGGCTTTAGATGGCAGAAGCATTCTCAGAGAATGTTCTGGAAGAATTCAAGTGAGAAGAGAAAAATCTTCAGTGTCTGTGGAGTGAAAATGTTTCTGTGGCTACCTGGTGGAACGTCACTTTCCACCTCTGAGACTTGTTCTTCAAGGGTCTGTGTGCAATTTATTTATTCCTTTGATGCCTCTGTAGACATTGGTTTATAGTAGCACAATTAATAATAGCTAAGTCTCGAGAACAACTTTTATGCCCATCAAAAGAAGAATGGGTAGGGTTGGGGATTTAGCTCAGTGGTGCCGCTGCCTGACTCACAAGTGCAAGGCCCCGAGTTCGATCCCTGGTTAAAAAAAAAAAAGAATGGATAAAGAAAATGATTTTATACACAATGGAGTACTACTGTGCCACGAAAAGGATACATTGGAATCATTTGTAGGAAAATGGATGCACCTTGAGACAATCATACTAAGTGAAATAAATCAGATACACAAGCTTGAATATCACACGGTTCCTCTTATATGGGAAACTCAAAGTGTAAATACATTAAAGAACAAAATAGAAGATAGGTAACAGGAAACAGTGGAGATGTTTACGCCCGTGTACCGACGTGCCACGATGAATGTGCTAACTCGCTGCACACTGCAAACACGTACCAAAGATCAGGAGACGCAGATCTGGGAGATTTTGTAATCGCAGAATGTTGGTAACAACGACACTGTTGTCCCCCAGGACTTTAGTTATGTGCACGAAGGGGCTTCCGCAGAGGGGAACAGAACGGGGCTGGGCCCAAGCAGGGATGTGCTTTTCGCACAGCACAAGGCCAGATTCTCAGGAAGTACTGCTGAATAAAGAGGAGAGGTTGGTAGCGATCTACACGAAAACCGCAGTGACGGCTCTGTCGTCTGCTTGTATTTGTACGATCACCTTTGAAGAGGACAGAGCCATCCACAGGAAGTGGCAATGAACCGGTGGAGAGGGGGTGGGCCTGGCCAGGCTGGGGGCGGGAGGGGCCTTCTCACACCGCGCCTTCTCACCCTGTCCGAGGCCATGTGCCTGTGTCACCCACGCCGCACTCACTGCGGTTAGAGAACGGTGGAAAGCAGACGGCGTCCCGGGGACAGCAGCCCAAGTCCTTTGCACCAACGCCCCTCACTTTGCCAGACAGGAAGCCGCTTTCCAAGGCCTTCCCGCTGCTGTCTTAACTTCTTAGTTTTAAGGAACACCGGACAGTGACTGCACAGCCGTGACTTGCACGGGGCAGCACAGAGCGGGTCCTCTCCTTCTGGTGCGGACAAGCAAACCTCACCGATCTGAGTTTAGTTTCTTTGGCTTGGGTTTCTAGAGGCAGAACCTGGAGACCAAGTGTTCTGAGCCATTGGACGGAGATGGAATTTTAGTAGTTTTCTTTGGAGAGGTTTCATGTGTGGTGAGCATGCCTTTCATGTATTTGTATACTTTTTGATGTACTAGGGATTGAACTCAAGGCCTTTGCACTGAGCTGTAGCTACAGCCCTTTTTTATTTTTCATTTGATGCAGTGGCTAAACTGCCCAGGCCGGGCTTAAACTTGCAATCCTCCTGCCTCAGCCTCCAGAGTGCTGGGATTAGAGGTATGCGTCACCGCACTCAGCCATGAGCATCCCTCGAGAGAATATTTGAGTGTGGGACCCCAGGAACCCCTAGTTGAGTCCTCACCCCCAGAGAGAAGGTGCTGCTGACTTGGTTCTGCGAACTCGGGCCTGCACCTTGGGCTGTGCTGCTCTGAAGGAGCCGCAGGTTGACGAAGGCTGAAGGAAGCGGTGCCTCTGGAGGCACAGATATGCAACGGGGAAGGGTTTTGGAGACACCTAAAACTGAGAGGAAAGAAGAGGGTTGATCAAAGGCACGGTTTCAAAACGTTAAGAAACTGTACACTTCTTATACAGGCAGAGTGAAAACACGTGGGACTTTTAGTTTAATTCATGCGGTGACAGATTCCCGCGCGCTGTTCGGGTTCCTCCAACGGGACTGCTGACCCAGCAGCCGCGTGGCCTCTGCAAACTTGAGCTACCGCACGGGGGCGTCCTGGAGCGGCTGCCTCCATGTCGCGCTCCTCCAGGCCCCCGTCCTCAGAAGGGCCGGGTCCTGGGCCTCTGGCTGTGCTGTTCCTGACCCCAAGTTCTAAATGACTGTGGTTTGGTTTGTAACGGGCCATGAATTGTGTAGCTGTGCCTCGTTGTGTCCGGAATCACAATTCTCCCATGGCTTATTTTAAATTTTTATTAGTATGTATTTTCAGTACATAATGGTTGTATTCCTCACGGGGAGCTGGTACACGGTGATAACACATTTTAATTCTTATTTCCCCTCCTTCACCCCTCCCTCCATCTCTCAGTCTCGGCTTCCCTTTTGTTAAAGCTCTATGTCCTGTCTCCTACCATCCGACTTTTATTTTTCTCTTTAATTTATTTAGACTTTGGGTTTCTCATACATGAGAATTCAACGGGCATGTCTGATTTGTTTCACTAAAAATCATGGTTTCAAGGTGCATCCATTTTTTCTACAAATGACTCACACTGATCACTATAGTGGCACAAAATCGAACCTATCAGGTTGAATAAGTTTTAAACAGAAGTCCACTATTTTTGAATTTTTATTTCATTCCCCAAAACGCTCTGTAATTTTTTTTTTATGAAGGTGCAGGAGTAGTTCCATGAAAGAGCCCCAGTAATCGTATCAGAATCATGGTGACTTGGAAAGAGACGTTTGTCCTTCACAGAGGGTATGCAGGACAGCCAGAGAAGCAGGGCGGGGCCCAGGACAGGAGCCAAACGCGGATTAAACACCAAGGACTGCGCGTGGGTTCTGTGCTGGGCCTGACTGGAAGTAGGACCCGCAGTGCAGCCTGCAGCGTTCCCAGGAAAAGGATCCTTTTATTTTTCTTGGGATGCGTAAAGAGCTTACATTTCACAGAATATGTGGGCAAGCACTTACTCATTTGCCCCAGGGCAGTTTGTATTTTGAGTACGCAATCTTGCTTTCTACGGAAAGATTGGCCCTTGGTTTATCCAAAGACACCAACCCCTGATGTGTCTGTTGTAGCAGAAATACGCTGAAGGACCAGCAGGACGCTGCCTGGGCCAGGCCCAGGTTAGACTCTGGACTTCACTACGGTGGTTGGAGATATCTGTGCAGTTAAGTTTGGCTTCAACTCAAACTGTCAGTTACATTTTTTGTTTTCCAATGTATTTTTCTTTGTTTTGTTCCACGAAGCATTTTTGCTGGACCTGTCTGTACACGTGGGACGATGAATAACCTTCCTTCATCTATGCTGGCGATCCCAGTGCAGACAACCACAGTCTGGGTCTTGAATCGCTCATTCTCAGGGCATAGCCATGGGTATCCCAGGGCCAAACTGAGCGGGGACGTGGGGGATTGAGACCATTAATTTAAACACACAGAACACTATTGAGTGAGTGCTGTACAGCCTGGGGTAGATTGTATCGTGTTTTACTATGTATATGTGATTGGTTTAGATGGGACGCGTTCCCTGAAGACTCACGTATTGAGAACTTGATGTCCAGTGTCACACGGTTGGACTCAGGAAGCACGTTCAGGGGTCGGGCCTGAAGAGGTGACCGGGTCAGGAGGGCCCTGTCCTCATCAGTGGGGTCATCCAGTGGTGGATTTATCCATTACTGGGTTCTTCATCCGTGGGGTTCAGAGGTGAAAGGGCTGTTAGGCAGGGCCCAACTTGCAGAAGTGGGTTATTGGGCCCGTGTCTTTGAAGGGTGTGTCTCATCTGTGGCTCCTTCCTCTCTCCTCTCTCTGCTTCTCAGATGCCCCACGATGAGCCGCTCTCCTCCGCCACCCCCATGGGGTCCCATTCTGCCGCAGGCCCGGCACCACGGAACTGAGCGACCACAGGCTGCCGCCCATGAGACCAGGGGCCCAAACAAATGCTCCTGTAAGTTGCTGTTCCCAGGTACTTTGTCACAATGACAAAAAGCTGCCTAGTACAATGTGCATTCACATTAGACTTCATTATTTGTAGCAGTTTTAGATTTACAAGGAAATTGCATAGAAAACAGAATTCTAAGGCATCTGCCTTATTCTTTCCCAGTCCTTCCAGTGTTCCTTGTTAGGAGGACCTTACGCAGTGGTGCCTTTGTTCCAACCGATGGGCCAGTATTGCTCTGTTACCTCCATGGAAGGCCGGGTTCACGTTGGGTTTATCTTCTGTTTGAACACCGGGGTGAAGTGCTCCGGGTCTGCCAAGTGTGTAGCGCCACGTGACTGCCAGTGCAGTGTTGTACAAGCTGATACCAGTCCCGTGAGTGTCCTCTGAGCCTACCTACCCATCCCCCCTCTTCCTCCCTGCCTCCCCCAAACCTGAAGCAATCACTGAGTGTTTGTCCCTCTCCATATTTCCTTTTCTCGAGTGTCGTACGGCTGGACCCAGATGGCGTGCACTTTCCAGACTGACCTCTTTCATCTAGGCATTTAAACTTTCTGCATGTGTGCGCGTGTGTGTGTGTGTTTTGGTGGCCTGACAGCTCATTTGTTTTTAATCACTGAATAATATTCCATTGCTTGTATTTACTAGGTATCTGCTCATTTGCCTATTGAAGAGCATGTGCGTCGCTTCCAAGCTTTGGCAAATATGAATTAAGCTGCCACAAATGCATTCGCGTACATCTTGTGGAGGCTTTCAGCTCAGTTGTGTAACTCTCTGTTGTAGGTGAATTACAAGGGAGCAGCAATATATACAGTGGATATTTAAATAAAGAAATTCTTATAGTAAAAGACATGAATCCCTCTCAATATCTTCCCCCTCTTTTTGAACTTATCCCTCTGTTCTTGTCACTTTCTGAAGCAGTTCTGAAAGTCCTCCTTCTTGAGTGTCTTTACAAGATGTGATGAAAATACAGAATACAGCGATCATTGCTGCTGAGCGTCACTTGACAGCTCGTGAGAACAGGACGCCGCGTCCTCATCCACCTCATTCACTGGATCTGATGCTGTGTGACTTCCGGCTCTTCCCCAAAGTCAGAATGACCATGAAAGGGAAACATTTTGAATCCACTCAGGACATCGAGGCAGATAGGACAGCACAGCTAAAGACACTCAGGAAAGAGTAATCCAGAGCTGCTGCAGGAAGGGGCAGGAACGATGGGAAAAGTGTGTTCAGAGAGCGGGTAAAGAGAGAGGATTCATGGCAGTGTGTCTTTTACTGTTATACAATTTTGAAATGTAATCATTTGTGGTGTGTTTTGAACACGTCTCATGTTTTGCATACTGAGAAAGTAAGCTGAAAGTGGATGAATGATCGTGGACTATTCTGGTCTGAACATCTAGCAGGGACAGAGGGGACTGAACAGACCCCAAGTGGAGATTCTGCGTGGGCCCAGCCCCGTCCCTGCAGGTCGTAAGAGGGCACTGCCAAGTCCCCAGCTGACTCCCGGTCCGGTGGCGCTCACATTCTCTTGGCCTCCAAGGGCAGCTTGACGATCTAACTATGGCTACTCCAGCCCCGTGTTCCCTCTCCTCCACCTCGTAAGGGTGCCAGCAGGTCCTAATCCCGTGTCTTGTTTTAATTAGGACCTGACCTCCCGCCTGGCCCCAGTCCCTGGCCTGGGAGCCAGGCTGTGACGGGCCTTGGCGAGCGTTGCCCTCTCTCTCACCTGCTGGAGGCCTCACCTCCCTGCCATCCTCCAGGTGACTGTTGGCTGAACACTGCAAGGACTCCATGGCCGAAGCCGACGGCCTCCACCCTCCACCCTCCCACCCACACGCTCTGACTGCCCGTTTGTGCTTCCTCTTCCCGTTAGCTTCTTCATCCTGCTTTGCTGTGACTCCGTCACATCCACCTCCATCCCAGATCACACCGCGAGTGTTCTTTGTGTCAAAATGTCAGTGTTACTTTTCTTAGAAACGTATCTTCTTGGGGTTAGAACAGACACACGGTGGAATAATAGTTTGCAATCGCTGCCTGCTTTGTTTTTTATTTTCTGTGGGTGCAGAGGCCTCTGTTTCCTGTAGGAAAGCACAGACGTCACCAAGAATAGCTTGGCGTCTAGGTGCCGAACTGCTTTCAGGGGCACAGCCCTGGATCTCCAGGGCTCGGCTTCCCCCGACTGATACACCCGGGAGCCTTCTCCCGCTTTATTCTTCGTGTTAGCGCTTCCTGCCCCTGGCTGCCAGGCTGGGCTCTGGAGAGCGTGGGGGGACCCAGGCAGGACAGCTGTGTTTAGGGTTTCCCAGCCCAGGGCACTTTGAAGATCTTTTTCCCACCAACGATCTCAGCTGCCCTGGGAGCGATCGGTTTTGGAGATGAGGCTGATCAAAAGCTTGTAGCAATGGACGTGACCCCCAGTCGCCCCTCAGCTGCTGCAGCTGTGATCCCGCGCTGGCCCCCATCAAGCTGGGCGGGCCAATTCCATCCCATGGCCGGCAAAGGATGATGAGAAATAGAAGCAAAGGTGGGAGGTGTAGTGAAAACCTACGGCCAGTGGTTAAAAGTTTTTAAAAAGTGTTAAAGTCCAAGTCACACGGCCATGAAAGTGAGGGGAGTTTGAGGGGGCTCATGGCCGTGTGTTTTACTGTAATAAACTTAAACATTCACTGTTTGTCATTATGATCACGCGGCCTGTCCTAGCTGATCTCAGGGATGTTTGGGAGCGAGTTGGGGGCCGGGACTGATGGGCTTCAGGCTGATGAACAGGCCTGACACTGATTAAAAAAAAACAAAACTGGGATGGAAGTCACATGCAGTGAAATGTCCTATTGCAGTTACCTTGAAGTACACAACGCCATGGCTCCTACGTGGCAGCCACTGTTACTCTGATCCCAGAACACCTGCCTCTCCCTCCCCCAGCCTCTGGGACCACAGGTCGAACTCCATCTTCTGGGGTTTTTGCGCTCTGGGTCTTTCATAGACACAGAGCCATACGATGTGTGTGTGGTCTCCTTGGCTTCTTTCCCCTAGCGGAATGTTTCCCAGGTTCACCTCACGAAGCATGAGTCCTCCTCACACTTTTTCCTGGCTGAATAGCACTCTCCTGCACAGAGAAACCACACTGCCCCTGTCCATCCAGCGGGGATGGACTCTTGGTGTCCTAGCACGTTTACTTTGTAAGAGAGCCTGGGGGGCCCTGTGGGGACTGGCAAGGGCAGGACAGGGCAGGGAGCCTGCTAGGAAGCTGCGAGAGTCCCGGGGACTGGATGGTGAGGGCTGAAGGTGGCCTTCACAGGAGAGGCACTGGGGCTGGGTGAGCTAGCGCTTCCCCCATGGTCACCTGTGTACGGCCTTCAGGAGCTGGGCATGGCCTCCTGGGGCTGAGTGAAGTGGGTGTCTCTGTTCCCCATCTCCTTCGCCTGTGCACAGTAGTGCTCTGTGCTCTCCCTTTGGGACCAGGTGCTCTACCTCTCCCATTGCTGGGACCCAACACCTGACACCACAAATGGGACGAGGAAAGGTTTGCTCGGCTCACGGTTCAGAGGGTCCAGTCTGTGGTCACTGGCTCATGGCAGGAGGGCGTGGTGGAGGACAGCTGCTCCAGCCGTGGAGGACAGGAAGCAGAGCAGGGACACGCTGGCCCCTGTCCTCTGTGGGGTGCAGCTTCAGCACGTCGGGGGTGGCCCCAGCCGGGGACGATGCAGCCACCGTGAGATGCAGCTGCGAGGGCATCGCTTTATCCGTGAAGATAGTGCTGGCGGGTTCGGAGATGGAGTGCCATCCTCTGGGGTATTTTCAACCAGAGAGCGAGAAAGGCCACCTTGGACAGAGAGAGGAGAGGATGAGGGTCTGATTGTAGCAGCCCACGAGGACTTCCCATCAGCGTCCTGTCCGCAAAGTGCCCTGTGCCTCGTTAGCGAGGCTGCCTGATTCCAAAGCAGAAGAAGCCGTTCTGAGCTTTGTGGGTGAGATGCCTTTGCCCACGCCAGCCCTGGGGTGTGGGCCAGCGCTGCCCTCAGTATCCCCTTTACCCACTTTCTTCCCTTGCCTTTTCGGTTTCAATCTTAGAAGACTGTTTTTTTAATTTCAGGTGGAGCACAAACTTATATAACACTCAAAGTCACTGAGCAGACCAGTGAAATGTTAGGGTCCTTTATAGTTCGAACGCCAAGGGGCCCTGGCTTCACGTACACATTTCTGCCTGACTGCTGGCTCTGGGCTCCCTAATTATGGCTCGCTAGCTGGGCTTCCCTTTTCTTTCCTTCTTTTTGAGGCAGGACTTACTGTTGTAGCCCAGGCTGGTCCCTGGTCCTAAACTCTTCAGCCTTCTGCTTCAGCCTCCCAAGGGCTGGGATTACACACGCGTGCCACTGGGCTGAACTCTATAGCTGGCTTTCTAGAGCTGGCTTTCTAGCTGATGGTATAACCTAGGGGTGCATGGGGCCAGTCTTGAACTCCTCACGTGGCCGCCTCCAGCCACCCTGCTCCCGGGGCGGAGGGGACAGGCACCAGGGGACAATGAGACATCACCCTGGCCTCCTCCATTGTACCAGGAACCTCTGCTGGGTGTTCGTTGTGCCCAAGTGGGGCTCCGGCTCTGCCTGACCAGCAGAAGAAACCAGCCTGGCCCCACCTTAGGCAGCAGGGTGTGGGCGCCCTCCCTGTCCAGCCATAGGCAAGAGCTGGTCTGACTTTAAGGGTGCGAATCTTCCCATGGGAGCCTGGAGTGGGTGGGGGCCCTGGCTCCCAGCCCCAGTGACCCTCCCACCTCTACTTCATCGTCTGTGGTGTTTGAAGACTTTGCGTATCATGTAGCTTCGCATCTGGGGTAACCTTTTATCTGTACACCGAGCAGAATGTGGGGCATGGTGACCCCGCTCTGTGTTGTCTGGTGCTCCAGGGGTCTTCCCTGGGAGGCTGAGAGGCTGGGGACATGGGATAAGCTGGCGGCAGAGGGTGGGTGTGGGGGAGCCACACCTGCTGGGTCTTGCTTTGTGCAGCAAATGCTTGCAGGTGGCTCTGTGGTGACTTCTGGTGTTTCTTTCTTGGCTATTTGAAAAAATTTTTGTTAACACACATTTGCAATCCATTGTGGTTGCATTCATTGTGGGGAGTTGGTGCAATTACATAGCATTTCTGTTTTGTTTTTTACCAGCATCCGGTTTATTTATTTATTTTATCTTTAATTACCATAATTACCATAAACGCAGATTAATAGCTAGAGTAACAGCCCCAAAACATAGAAAACACCTAAAACAATGATAGTAAGTAAGGTACACTTTTAGATACATTGGCTTGCTGGATGACAACAGCTTTTCTGTCGCGTCCTTTTTTCCCTATTGTCTGTTTTTTATTTTGCACTTAATTTGTATATTGGGTTTCTCATATAAGAGAAACCAAGCAATAGTTAAGCTTCTGTGTCTGATTTATTTCACTTCACATTATGGTCCCAAGGTGCATCCATTTTCCTGCATATAACTCAAGTCTTCCTTCTTCAGGGCAGAGTAGTACTCAACAGTGTATAAACGGCACATTTTCTTTATCCATTCTTCTGCTGATGGACAAGTGGGCTGCTTCCAAGCCTTAGCTGTTAGGGCTCATGCTGCTAGAAATATGGATATGCTTGGGTCACTGTAAAATGATGTCTTAACTCTTTCAGGAAGATACCTAGAAGGGGAATAGCCAGACTGGATGGAAATTTGGGGTGTAGCTTTTTGAGGAATTTCCATAGTGGCTGAATTGGTTTACAGCCCCATCAACAGTGCAGATAGGCTCCTTTTCCCCAGCAAGCTCTCCAGCACCTATTATGTGACTTCTGGAACATAACCACTCTTTCTGGAGTGAGGTGGAATCACAGCGCTGTTTTATTTTGCGTTTCTCTAATGGCCATGATGTTGAGCGCTTGTCCCATATTTATTGACCATTCACATTTCTTCATCTGCCTGTTCATATCACATGCCCATTTTTGATTGGATTTTTAAATTAGGGGGGTGCTCTAATTTTTAAAAGTTTTTTATATATTCTAGATAGGAGTCCTCTGCCTGAGGAGCAGCTGGCAAAGCATGTTTCCATTCTGGAGGTCGTCTCTTCACTCTGGTGACTGGATCCTTTGCCGTGCAGAAGCTTTTGAATTTGATGTCATCCCATTTATTGATTCTTGGGGTTTATTTGTCATGTAACAGGGGTGTGGTTCCGAAAGTCTGTCCGTGCCCATGTCTTTAAAAGTTTTACCTATTTTTGTCTTCCAGCTGATGAAACAGTTTTGTTTTAATTCTTAGATCTCTGATTCATTTTGTTTCAGTTTAGTGCACTGTGAGAGATATGGGTCTAGATTCAACTTCTGGCACGTGGATAGCCAGTTTCCCCAGCACCATTTGTAAAAGAGACTTTCCTCCCATGAAATTACCTGGACCCTTTGTCAAAGATAAGGGGCTGAGTGTGTCTGGAGTTTTTTTTTTCCCCATCCTCTCTTCTGTCTGTTCCATTGATCCACAAGATTTTTCCCCCAATACCATGCTGTTTTAATCACTGTAGTTTTGGAAATTCCTCAAAAAGCTAACCCTATAATTTGAGGTCTAGGATTGTGATGGTCCCTGCTTTGTCCTTGCTGCCCAGAAGTTCTTTTGCTATTCTAGGGCTCTTATGGTTCCATATAAATTTTAGGATCATTCTGTGTGGAATGTTACTGATATTTTCATTGGAATTATTTTGGAAGTATGGCCATTTTCACCATCTTGGCTCTGCCTATCCAAGAATGGGATCTTTCCACTTGCTGATATCCTCTTTGATATTTTCCCAGAGTTCTGTAGTTTTCATTGTAGAGGTCTTAACTTTCTTGGTTAGGTTAATTCTTACTATTTCAATTTTTTGGGAGCCATTGTGACATGTTTTGTTTCCTTATTTCTCTCTTGGTGGGTGAATTTGTTATTAGTACACAAAATGCTATTGCTTTTTTTGTGTGTTGACTTTGTATCCTGCTATGCTACTGAATTTGGTTGTTAGTTCTAGGAGTCTTTTGGTGGAGTTTTTGGGGTCTTCTGTGTAGAGGATCCTGTCACCTACAAATAATGATAATTTAACTTCTTTTCCTATCTATATCCCTCTTATTTCTTTCTCTTGTGCTCTGGCTAATGTTTCAGGAGCCAAATTAAATAAAAATGGTGATAGCGGATACCCTTGTCTTGTTCCTAATTTCAGAGGAAAAGATTTTAGCTTCTCTCCATTTAGCATGATGCTGGCCATTGGTTTGTCATAGATGGCTTTTATTAGACTGAGATAAAGACCCTCTATTCCTTTTTCTTCAGGGTTTTTGATTTTTTAAAATCACGAATTGTTGTTGCATTTTGTCAAAGGCTTTTTCTACTGTCTATGGAGATGATTTGTGTGATGTGTTACATTTATAGATTTGTGTATGTTGAACCATCTCTGCTTTCCTGGGATGAATCCTTCTCGGTCAGGGTGTATGAACTTTTTGATGAATTGCTGTATTCTGTTTGCCAGTATCTTCCTGAGAATTTTTGCGTCTATGTTCATGAAGAGATGGGGCTGCAGTTGTCCGTTTTGGTTGAGTCCCTTTCTGGTTTTGGAATCACTTTGATGACTTCCAACAAACCAGGAAA